AAGGAAATGTTATGTGAAGTAGCTTAATTCCAGGAAAACACATTGTTAATGCTAGTTATCTCTTTTTATGGAAAAAGAATCAGTAATTTATTCAACTGGATTAGTAACCACATTTTTCTGAATTTCAAATTTTGCATTTACATCCATTTTTCATCCTCGTTACTGATTTCAGAAGTTTGGATTCTTGCCTTACTTGAAATCTTCAGCAGTTTCAGTCATTTGCAAACAATAGTAGGCACTTCCAAAGTGGATTGCTATTTATCATTCAAATTCAATAGTCTTTTAAAGGAGAAAAGTGCATCTGGAGACAAGTGTGATTAACGTTGAAGGCCCCGAGAGCACCAAGGAGCCCTGGCAGTGTGGTGGTTATGAGCTGGGCTGTGATCTGAAATGTTCGAAGTTTGAAACTACCAGCTGCTCTGAGGGAGAAAGACTGGGCTTTCCACTCCTGTTAATAGTTAGTCTCGGAAACTCACGGGGCAGGCCTATACTGTCCTATAGGGTCACTGAATCAGCATGCACTCCATGGCTGGTGGTAAGCGCATCATGCCTTCTTTGGATTTAATGTACAAGCATAGTGATTTTTAGAGCTGGTTCTTCAGCTGACCTTGCCACTCATTAGATGGTTGGCCTTAGAAAATTCTCGCTTCTCTGCTTTAATTTCCATTTTAGTAAAATGGTGGTGGTGGTGGTGGGAAGGAGGTTATGCTACATGATCCCAGCACCTTCCATGTCTGAAAGCCCGATCCTATGCTTAACAGACCATTCCTTCCATGGCTCATGGCTCAGGAAGAAAACCTGGCAGACCTGCACTCTTTCATCATCCTCCCCAGTTCATCTACTTTCCATGCTTCCAGTTAAGAACCTTAGAATTGCTTTTAATCTCTTCCTCTTATGCAATTTATAGACTTGATTATAGTAACATTTATAAACACTTGCAGGGCACTTTTCAAGTTTACCAATCATTTTTGCAAATACTAGCTCACTTGATTATTATAACAGCTCAGGCTGATAGGTATGATCTTCAAGGTACCTGGTGAGGCAACTGACAGTTTGGTTGGTGATAGTAAGTGATGGGAGCAGGTCTTCTGATTCCGAAGTCTATAGTCTTTTCACAACCACAGTGCTTATTAGAGGAAGATGCAGGTTTTGTGGGGCCTGAAGTGGCCATCTTCAAGAAAATGGAGACAAATTATAACAACATTAAGTATGATCCTGTGAACACATTGTTAGGGCTTCTCAGGCCTTGTAAGAGTCTATTGAAGCGAGAGTCTCAAAAGATCTAATGGAAATACAACTTTTCATGTTTATGTTTATTTAGTAGTTATTGTGTACCAGGTAAAGAAACATGGTGGGTTATGTTTTAGGCTTCTATCTGCAAGGTAGGCTGTTTAAGCCTACCAGCCACTCTCGAGGAGAAAGATGAGGCTGTCTGCTCCCATAAAGATTTAGTCTTAGAACACTATAGAGCAGTTCTACTCTATCCTATACTCTGGGTCTCCGAGTGGAATTTCTAGGTTTTTATGTGCCAGGAACTGAATATTAATTTTTATTGCTCTAACAACCCTATGAGGTAGGTATGATCTTTTTTTTTAGAGTGGGGAATGAGACTCAGGGAGGTAAATGAAGTGCCTATGGATGCGTGTGTCAAAATTGGATACTAGGAGTTCTGGCTCCCAAGTCATACTTTAAACCCAACACACTATTGTGCTTTCTTTTGACAAGTTTCCAGAGAAGTCCTTTGCTCTACCACTTCCTGCTACCATTCCATGATTCAGAATAATAAAACTCACTGCCATTAAGTGGCTTCCGACTCACAGTGACCCTACAGGACAGGGTAGAACTGACCCTGTGGGCTTTTCCAAAGACTGTAACTCTTCATGGGAGCAGAAAGCCTTGTCTTTCTCTTGAGGAGCAGTGAGTAAGTTTTGAACTACGTTGACCTTGGAGCTTGCAGTGCAACATGTAATAACCAAGCCACCAGTCTCCTAATCTGTCTCCCTAAATCAGCCTTCCTACCATCTACCCTGAATGCTGCCGCCACCCTTAACAATCCTGTTCTAAGTCCAGGTCACCCCTGTAACTTCAGATCCCTCCACTTCTGCTAGGCATTTATCAAAGGCAAGAAGCAGTTCTTGCTCATAAGCTATCCTTGGTCATGGATTCTATACCGTCTTCCATTAATATGTTGGTTACTGAAAACTTGGTTTTCTGAAATATGTTGAACTGCTGAGAGGAATGTACATGGAGAGCTCACAGAATCTGAAGGCCAAACTCCTTTCTCTTCCTTAACTTCAGGTTCTTCATTTGCAAAACATTAACTACAAGGCCTACCCCACTATAAAGCTGTTGTGAGATTTCAGGTAGGTTAAGGTCAAGTGAGGTGAGATGCTTCAAGTGCTCAAAATACGTTGATTGGTTCTTGACTCAATCTTCTCAGAGAATATGGTAGTGCTATCATGTACGTGTTGCATAGCTAACCCCAAGATCTGAGGTTCAAATCCACCAGCTATGGGAGAAAAACGAGGCTCTCTGCTTCCATAAAGATTTACAGCCTAAGGATTTACAGCCTGAGAAATTCTGTACAGATTCCCTATGAGCTAGAATCAAGTTGACGGCAGTGGGGTTGTTAGTTTTGTTGTTGTTGAAGGAAGAGACTTTGTCTCACACTACTTGGGTTTTCTCAAAAAAACCCAAAATCAGAAACATATTATGATTATTTAATTTGATTGCTTCAATGGATACACTTTTGCACCTGGACCTGCTGAAGAACTACAATGGCCCTAATGACAGAATCGGTTTCTGATTGACTTCAAGCTCCATAACCCTGGAAAGTTTCCCTCTCTGAGGCCTGGATCCCTCATTTGTAAAATGTTATTAGTATGTACTTCATAATGGCATGGGAATTAAAAAATCATCATCATCCAAGTGAATCACTTAGTATATAATTAGCATCCCTTTGCCCCAAATTGTTACCTATACAGGCATGTGTTGCATTATATCTGTTCTGCACAAGTTTCCCTCTGTCTGTGGTCTCCTACGTTTACAACATAATTCAGAAATCCCAGAACAGGTCCTGGCAAGCATAACCAGACATAAGGAACATAACAGATTAACATTACACATGTAGCTCATGTCTCATATACGAAGCAATATTGTTGCCAGGTGTATAATGAATGGTACAGTACATCTCAAAAACAAACTCACTACCACCGGGTCAATGCTGACTCAGAGTGACCCTATAGGACAGGGTACAACTGCTCTGTGGGTTTCTGAGGTGGAAAATCTCTATAGGAGCAGCAAGCCTCATCTTTCTACTGCGAGCAGCTGGTGGTTCCCAAGTGCTGACCTTGTGATTAGCAGCCTAAACTCACAACACACCATGCCATCAGGGGTCCTTGGCAGTTCATACATCAACTAGAATACGTCTTGATAATCACAAATATCTGTAATACTGCATTATATATGTATTGCGCTTTCCATCAGGCACCCCAGTAGCGTAGTGGGTTACACATTGGGCTGCTAAGGTCAGCTGTTCGAAACCACCAGCTTCTCTGCGTGAGCGATGGGCCTTTCTACTCCCATAAAGATTTACTCTCGGACACCCACAGGGACGGTTCTCTCCCCCATAGCATTGACTTGATGAGTCAGTTGAATATTTTCTATCATTTTAATGTGACCCTTCCCTATTTACAAATTAAAAATTTACCATATGCTTTAATTAGTAGGTAGCAGCAGCCAATCTTCCATGTTGATCTGGTGGTCTCTTGAGGGCTGTATCCTCTCTCTGCTTAATTTTCTTTCAAAAATATTATCATGATGGGCACCGTGGCTCCACATGCAGCAGAACCAGGGCTGGTGATAGCAGCAGCAAGAGGTAATGGAGAAATATCGATCAGGAAGTGAAACAAAAGGGTATTTTAATAACAGCAGGGCGGAAAACGAACAAATGCTGTGCTGGAGACAGGCACGCTCTCATATCATGTCATAGTTCACAGCACGTATTGTAACTGTTAAGTCGGGCATCACTGCAATTATACCGTTTCAAATTATGTCCCAAGCCCCTAAGGACTTAGCCTCTCCGCATCCGCTCTGCATCCTCACCAACCTGGGTCGCATCACCCTTACCTTCCCGGCTTCTCTCCCAACGTTCGACTTCCCGACCATCCATCATGCATCCCAGGTCAGCCGCCAGCTCGGCGGTAAACAAGTCCCAGCGCATCTCTCCTCGGAATCTCGTAAGGAGCCCACGAGGCCGTGCTTTCGCCGAGGCCATTTTAGAGACGAGGAGCCAGGCGCCGAGGGCTTGAGGAACCG